TAATAAAAAAATGCTTGGCTTTGGGAGTTTGTTCATTTTAGAAGACAAGAGAGGTGTTAGAAAAATTAAAGAAAAATTTGGAAAGCAGAAAGACTTCATTTTCTGCAGTGGTGCCTATGATGGCAAATTCCATGCTGTGTACTGAAAAAATACACTTCCAAAATTATACACTGAGAGCTACTTTTAACTGGTGTCATTGATGTCAGTGCTACTGGTGCATATTCTCCATGTGAAAGGAGTTACTAACAGGATTGTGACACATAAGAGCCTTTGAAAATACTTCATAGAAAGGTTACAGGTCAGGAAATGCTCCCAAGCTCAAATGTAACATTTGTTGGTCTGCCATAGGTCTTCTGGAAGAGAATGATATCTTCAGGAATGCTCAAGCTGGTGTTCTTATTAGCACCAATAGCCACCCTGTGCTAAGGAAAAACCGAATATTCGATGGTTTTGCTGCAGGTTTGTGCTGTTTAAATCAAATTTGGAAGCCTGGCGTGAACTCTTCACAAGGCTTACTCTAGGTTTTTTTACCCCATGGTATTTAGATGTTTTAAAAGTGACTGGGATATCCTTCAGTGTATTCTAAAAGTCATTTGAGAATTCAGAACTGTAGTCAGGGTGTATTTTACAGCATGTTGGGAAATGACACATATTCTGTCTTGTAATTTTTTTTTGTGAAATACTTCTCATTATTTTATTTTAGCAGCAATTGGTAGTTGTCTAGGATACATTTGTAGTTGATGTGCTGGATGCTCATATGAATATCTTATCACTGCTTTAAAACCTAGGAAACTGAGCAAATACACATTTTGAAGAGATTTGAATTGCATCTCAAGTTCAACTTTCACACTCCACAAAGTTGAAAAATTGTAAAAATGAGCGTTTCTTTCTCCAAAAGAGATGAAGAATGTAACAGTGATTTTTTTCAATTTTACTGTTTAATCATCACAGTTTCATACAACTTGCATTCCATTCCATTCCAATTAAAATTGCATTCTTGAGTTTTCTCCCATCTTTTTTTCAGAAGAAGCAAGTTTTCTGAGAAGAGCCTCTAAAGGTGTTGTTTCAGTGTGGTGGGGGGGAAGGATAGGTTGCTGTCAAGAGCAGTCCTGGACAAATGACTTGGAAGACACGGGTTACTGATAAAAGCTAAGAATTAAAGAAATTAATTTTAGGTGCCCATCTTGAGAACTTTTTTTGAAAGATATTTTTAAAAGGGTAAGGTATGTGCACAAGAACTTTAAAATGTACATGAAGATGACAGCTCTAAGTGCCCAAAAATCATATTCCCTTTGAAAATAAGCATGGTCATAGTACCATTTTATTATCAGATAAACTAGTAGTGTGTTGTTCCTCCCAGAAACCATGCATGCCAGCTGTAGCTCTTTGAAAGGATTCAACAGCTGCATTTGAAACCTCAGTTTTAAAACAAATTACAGTGCAGTTTTGTAGCTATGTATTTTTCTTTCTTCCCCTTGAGTTGATGATGGCTTAAAAAAAACACCAACCAACCAAGCTGTAGATGATGAGGTACAAATGTACAACCAGCAGGGGTTTAACTTTGCCACTCTCTTTTCTCTCCTTTGTTTCCCTGACCCACTGAAGGTATTGAAATAACAAATCATGCGACTGCAACATTAGAAGGCAATCAGATTTTCAACAACCGCTTTGGAGGTTTATTTCTAGCATCTGGTGTCAATGTCACGATGAAAGGTGAGCCCGAGTCGCCCTGGCCTGTGTTTGGTCACTTGTTTGTTGCTGCTGGGTCTTTGCACCCAGTGTGGCACACAGCTGGTACCACCTTAAGCAGAGTTGTGACTTAAGTTTCAGCTGAAGGTAATGAGCCACATTGAGCTGTGTTAAGATTTTTAGACAAATAGATGGGTTCAAAGGTAACTTATAGTTTTGCTGTTACATTAAAACTGTGATCAACTCTTCTATCTGAAAATCACTTCTGAACCAATTCCTGATCTTTGGCCCATCTCAGACTCCAATTCTGATCTAGTACAATGGAAAGTATTTTTTTCCTACATATCCAAAAATGTATTTCCAGTGAAGAAAAATGCCTCAGTTGGCTTTTAGGATCTAAAAGCATGAACATTCTCAATCCCAAATATGTTTTTTCAGAAAATATAAACAGTTCGCATATATAAAATTCCCTTGTATAGTGGGGAAAATGTGCATGAGACAGGATCCTCTTGGACAAGATGGGAATGATGGTTTGAATGCCAGACAGCTCCAAGAGGTTATTTAAGATTAAAAAGGTTCAGTTTGCAGGAGTTCTATATACTTGCCTGTATCTGTTAAACCCTTTCCTGTGGATGATTTGTGCCTCTTAAAACACAAGCTCTGGTTCCCTGCTTCTCAGCACCTGGGTTTCGCGATGACATCACTCAGTGCTCTGATGCTGCTGGGAGTGGGCAGAACTTTTTGAGATGCACTTCGGCACTAGACAGAAGATCAGATAGTTGAGTAACAGAGGGGATTATCAAATTCACTGTGCCTTGGACACATCTTTGAAGTACTGGAGCTGGTCAGACCTAATTTCCACTTCCGTTGTGTTGGGAAGTATTTTATTCCTAAACTTTCCTGGGGAAAGAGCCATTCTTTTCCTCTTTCTAAAGGGTGTGTGAAAGGCATTATGGTAAATTAGAAGCTTTCAAACACTGGGTTTCAAGCACCTCAGCAGAAAACTTACACCTGCTAGGAATGCTTGTGTCTCTCTTAGCATTTATTAACAGCCAAGTTCAAAAAGAGTATTTAAATGGAGGCTATCAGGTATTTCATGCCATGTGTGCAAAGAGGAACAGTGTTACTTGCTTCAGGAGTGCATGGCACTCTGGGCATGTGGACATTGAGGATTTTATATTCTTAAATGCCAGAGTTGAAATGCAGGTATAGAACTAATTGTTCCTAATGGGCCCTTTGCTTCAATGCCTCAAGGAAAAAAAAAAAAAGTCATTGATTCAGATGTGATTAGTTCAGGATTTTTTTTCCCCCCCAACAGATAACAAAATAATGAACAATCAAGATGCCATAGAGAAAGCTGTCAGTAGAGGCCAGTGTTTATATAAGATCTCAAGCTACACCAGCTACCCGATGCATGACTTCTACAGGTAACAGGTTCCTTCCCACCACCTACAGCAAGGCTTTCCAAGAAAAACCCCTTTCTCTTCCTACAAGGCCCCTGGAACAGTTGCTGGGTGTGAGTGAACACACGTGTGCTCCTCCTCAGCTGCAATAGAAGAGGATTTAATAAGTTCCCATTTTCTGTAATTGACTTTGGGTGTGAGGAAAACAGATATTTCTGTGAACCTGAGCCCAGGGTGTTGCACAGCACAACTGTGTTGGTGACACAAGTAACAAAAAGTGTGCTGTGAAATCCAAGTTTGTGTAAAGTTCTCAAACTTTACAGTCCTGTGCACCCTCTTTCCTTCAGTGCATTTCTGGCCCTCCAGCCTCCGGAGCACTGCCCGAGAGCTGGTCAGGTTTTGGTTCCTGCCTAACGTGCTGCTTTTCCCTCCAGATGTCACACCTGCAACACCACAGACCGTAACGCCATCTGTGTGAACTGCATCAAGAAGTGCCATCAAGGACATGACGTAGAATTCATTAGACATGATAGGTACGTTTCCAGAGGGCATGGGGCTGCTCCCAGAGCAGGAGGGCATGGCCACTAAGCTGTCTCTCTGTGTTGTAGGTTTTTCTGTGACTGTGGTGCTGGAACACTGTCCAATCCCTGTACACTTGCCGGAGAGCCTACACACGATACAGATACACTGTATGACTCTGCTCCACCTATAGAATCTAATACATTGCAGCACAACTGAATTCCTTTTCAGAAAGTCCTGCCATTCTAATGTCATAACTATTAAAACTTTTTTTTTGGAGGAAGTTACACTTGCCCATTTCTGCAGGAAGAGACTGTATTAAAGCGGATGTGTGAGGTGTTGACACTATGGAGCTCAACCTACCAAAAAAGAAAGTGGCAATATGTTGACTCAGGATAACAGAACTGGGCGTTTTAGCATTACTGTGTAAACAAAAGACTTTGAAGGGACAGAAGTGAAGAAAAATAAGCTGCAATTTTGTACAGATACCAACTTCTGAGAGCTGGTGTTTTTACAAGTAGCATTGAAACGCAGTCCAATTTGCAGTAGTACTATTCTGTAGACAAGCAGCATTCTTTGTTGCTGCCTTTATGGACATGGGTACCAATCGCTTTTGTAACATGGTAAAAATGTGAGCTAGCACTTCTGCATTTCTTTTGATTTTTTAACATTTATTCAGATTGAGAAATATGATTTTGATGCTTTAATCTCATGTAGTTTGTTTCTAATTTCAAGCAAAAAATCTTATTGTACTTGAATGTGTCCTGTTTTGTTAGCACACCTAGACTTGCTGTAACTGTACTCATGTCCCAGTATGTACGTTCTTTCTATGAAAGAGAAAACACTAATCTTAAATTATATCCAGCAATTTTTCTGGTGTTCTCTGAAGTTAGAATAATCTCCTCCCCTCCCCCAGCAATAGTCTGTACTCAAACCACCCTAACAAAAGAAAGAAAAGCGAGTGTTTTAATGAGACTTCCTAGACTATAATGCACTATAAAACAAAGTACCCATGTAACTAAGTTTTGTGAAAGAAATTTTACTATGTTTTAAAGTACACAGTAGAAAGTCTCCTCAAAACAGTCTTGTATTTTACTCTGTTCATAGTTTTTTTTGAACAGTCTGGACATTACTTACATAACCTGCTGGAAATCACAGCAATTTCCTGCTCTAATGAAGCTGAGACAAGTATATATACAGCCCTATACAGTTTCATAGCTTTTTTCCATTTATGTGTATTGGTGACAGTGGGTAATCAACAGCCTGAAAGTGTATGCATGTACCATAACATCTAGACTTAATATATTGTGGAGTACTCAATAACCATTATGTAGAGGGTAGGTATGAATTAAAGGGTTTAATTTCCTAGGAAAGACAATGGAAAAATGGTCATTTTTAAAAAATAAAGTTTATTAGATCATAATGTTGTCTGCTCCCACCTTCTTGAGAAACCGTGCGAGTTCTAAAGCCGGTCAATCATCGCCATGAGTTTCCGAACTGCATTTGCATCACATGTTGTTCCATCCACCACCTGGCACAGGTACCTGAGGGAAATAACCACCTTTACTGACAGGGACACTGAGGGGCAGAGCTTAAGATTGCCATTTCTGCAAAGGCTTTAGGAGACACGGATGCTGGGCCTGGTGTGAAGGCTGCCAGTGGCAATCCCCAACACCTCTGTGTGCAAATTCAGACTGGCACAGTGACCCAAGGCTTAAAATACTGCTTATATCTCTGCCCTCCCATAGTACTCCCTCCCAGAAGGTTCACAGAAGTAGTTGTAACTGCCCCTCATGCTGTAAATGAGCAAAAACCACTGCCCAAATATTAAGATGGGCTGCTATAAGCCATTTGCAACTTAGATGCAGAAACCCAGAGCCTTACCTAAATATTCTCAGTGAGATGGTTGTTTTTTCAAACTCTTTGGCTTTTCTGTGCCCCTTCTGAATGACTTCCTCTGGAATATCTGCAAGTCTTGCCGCATTGAAGCCATAGCTCTTTGGGCAGGCTCCTTCAATGAACTTGTACAGGAACGTAATTGTTTCCTGGCTTGGATCCTCACTCTCATTTTCAACCATACATGCCTGGGAAGAGCATAGTTAGAATTCACAATATTGACCTGCAGCCTAAGAAACGCATGGGAGGGACATCATGTCCTGTTCCCAAAACAGCCGTTTCTCAGGGCAGAAGAGCACAGAAAAGCAGGAGAAACCGCAGCAGGGAAAAGCCCATCCTCACACACGTACCATGTGGCCCAGGCGCACGGCCCCACTGTGGGAATAGTCCTCCACCAGGGAGTGGTAGTGAGTGGAGAACAGCGTCCGGCACTGGATCCTCTCGGCCAGCTCCTGCACCACGGCGCTCGCTATGGCTGTGCCGTCAAACGTGGCCGTGCCTCTGCCTGGGGACACAAGGGACACAGTAAAGTCAGTCCATAGTTCACCTGCTGCTGGGGACACAGACACCCTGCAGACAAATGCAGCAACGCATGTGTAGTGTGTTTGTTCCCCTCCCTGTGTGTGCAAGACAAACAAACAGCAGTGAGGGGTGAGAGCCACCAGCACCAGGGGAAGGTGACCTGGCTGTCAGCCCCATAACAATCACCCTCTTCTGCACTGCAGAAAAAAAGATGCTTCTGCTCTCCGGAGGTTTGCTGCAAATAATTATGCAAAGCAAAAGCAGGAAACCACAGCTGGAAATAGAGTACCAATGACTGGGAGTGGGAGGTGGTGATGAGTTCCCAGGGCACCCAGGATGTGTTCATGTTGGAGAGGCTGAGACACCACTTAAACACCAGCATCATTAGGATGAAACTGGCTCTGTGTACTTGGCTGCCATTCAGACAGCCCAAAAACCTTGCAGCCAGTATTTCTTTCTTGCAGCAAGATTTAGCTTCCATCTATTACAAAATAATCCAATTACCCAGTTCATCCATGAGAACAAGGGAATGCTCTGTTGCATGCTGCAGAATGCTGGAAGTCTCACTCAATTCAACAAAGAAGGTACTTTCACCTTTAAAGGAAATGAAAAGAAAAAAAAAGCCATGAAGAAGTCACAGATTTGAGAACCACAACTAAAACCTCATTTAATCTGCACTAGAATCTTGGTTAAGCTAAAGTGAAACTCAATAGCAAACTGAAGATAAACAAAAACATGACCTTTTTTTTTTCAGTGTGAAAACAGCAGGTTCCCATTCACAAGAAAAAACAAGTTTTGGTTCCTGTAGAGTACGGGTATAGGCACAAGCACAATTAATTAAGTTTTCAGGGAACACACCTGATTACTTTTAACAGCACCAGTTAAAAGTAGCAGCTGGACAAAAAGAGGGGCACAAAGGCTACAGTGGGGAGAATTTTTGTCCATTTCTTGCTCTGAATGCACAGGACAGGCCGAAGGTGTGTGTAGCTTTCTAGTAAAAAAAAAACAGGCAAAAAATCAAAGACTGAGAGACTGGAATTAATGGTTTGGTTGTGATGTCAGGAGGGAACTATTTGGATAATAAAGGCTTTATTTGTACAGTCTCTCCTCAAATGAAGTATGACAAAAGCAATATTCTGCTGCTAAGGCTCAAGGATCTCATCGGAGTTTCAGCAACCCAGATAACACAAGGCCTGAAATTTACATCTGAAATTTGTTATAGCAGATGGTGAGCAGAAGTACACAATTATTCACACCCTTCCACATGATAAACCCACACTTTTAAAAAGTTGGGATTTACTTGTTCTTTGTGGAGATCATTACAAATAATCACAAGTAGCAGCAATTAATGCAATTTATTCCATTAAAGGCAAGCATTTATTTCCTGTACACATGCTGCATGAGCAATGCTTTGCTCTAACGTAAGTTTTTTAACATGAATTATTATGCAGCATCCACCAATCCTGATTTTCTGCATTTATTTAAAGAAATTACCAAGATTTAAGGTTTTTAACAATATTTAAGAATAACCATTTATTCAGAAAATAAAGCCCTAAAATTTTATTACTGAAAATATTAGCTTCATAAAAGTCCTGCTGACATCCATTACAAAGTGACTGCTGTGGAACAACTTCTCCTGTGCTTTCCTATCTACACTGTGCAAACAAATGCATCAGGAACAGATTTCAAAGCTCCTTTGCAGTGTTCACCCTCCTCACAATTTGAAATGCCAAATCAGAAGTACACTCCTCAGTTAATTTAAAAAAAGATTGAAAATGTTACATTTTGCTAGACCATCACACACGAAGGAAGGGCCCATCTCATCTCTACCATAAGCATTTAAGTATTCTTCCACACTTTTGATTTCTTCCTGTATTGAAAGTAAACCAAATGGAGATGAGCTGGCCTAAGAAAGCCTTAATAACATTCTCTAGCAGCAAATAAAAGCCTTGATTTGGAGAAGTGTAAATATTTTCTTTAATTAAGAACTTGTAATGATTAATTTCCAAATTCTTTCTGTGCAGTAAGTTCAGTGGGCTTAACTCCTTTCATATTCACTGACCCATATTTTTCAGCAGAGAGATCACAGAAAACCTGTGCTCTCCTTAATGAGCAGTGATACTACTCTTACCCCAACCATCATTTTATTTTTCTAGCCCAGTGGCACGTTGCCCATCTCCTCTGGCAGATTTTACCATTCCACTTGTCATCCTCCACTTGTCTCCTTCTCCATTAAAGGAACTAAATACTCCTAAGAACTGTCAACTACTACTTTCAAGAAGGACGTTTGCCTCTCTTGCTCATCAGAAGAAATCAGATTTCAAACATAAGGCATTCTGATTGAAACAAGGGACTACTATAGACCTTACAAGAAGGTACAAAAACAACTCCTGTACAACAGCTGCCCCAACATCACTGTCCTATTTCAGAACACTTACAAAAAGGTATCAGAGCAGAATATAATCAATTCTAAAAAAAGATGTTCCTCAGACTTACATCCAGCTGGGAGTTAGGCTTTTCATATTAAAATTCATAAGGAAGTTGATCCCGTGCGTCTGTCAAAAATCAAACGGACGCACACATGAAAAAAATAAAGCCTAAGTAAAATCCTGTCTCCACTCTGAACAACAAAAGAGTGTCCAGCTCTCCTTGAAAAATACTGTCCCCTGCCTAACTTGCCACTCGAAGCAAGAGCAGGAAGTTGGTGTGCAGCTGTGTCAGGCACTCACCAGCCATGATCCTGTCGGAGGCGCCGAGCCGCGTGAACACGCGGTCGATGGGTGTGAGCCTGCAGGCTTCCGCGGGCACGTAGCAGCCCAGCTGGGCCATGACCACCAGGAGACCAGCCTGCACAGCAAACAGGGACATTCACATTGGCACCGGTGCTTGCAGCTTCAGTTCCACACACACAGCGAGGGCACGAAGCTGTGTTTCCCCTAAAACAGGGACTGGAGTACATAAAGCTTCCTGCTGCTTTAATAGCTCCAGGCTGCAGCAGTAGCATCTCTGGCAGGACTGAACTACTCTGAAAGCCTTCAAAACACAAATTATCACAGCAAGCAGTGTTTATAAAGCAACCTCCCTGCTGATATCTAGTTTCATCTTGTTCAACCTGCAGCAGCATCTTTTGCTAACTGATGTCAAGTCCTGGGTAAGTCCCTTGAAAAAGAGAAATGATACTCTATCACTTCTTCCCAACCAGCTCTCCTAGAACAAATAAAACTTATCCCTCCCTAAAGCAGAAAATCTCTGAATGTGAGCACTTTCTACCAGCCTGTGCAATTGCTGCACACCATGAAGGCCACTTCTGGGACCTCCTGTGACACCCATGACAGCCAGGCCCTGTAATTCCCTTACCCAAACCCCAGAGGTACCCTAGGACACATGACAATCACCTGTCTCATGAGAGTAGATTTGCCACCCATGTTTGGGCCAGTTACCAGCACACAGGAGCCCTCACTGCTGCTGCCTTCATCCTTGATGCCTATCACGATATCATTGGGAATAAAATCATCCCCAAAGAAAGTTTTTGTGATGCATGGATGGCGGGAATTTCTAAGTTCCAGGAAGGGACGAGCATTATCCCTAGGCAGCAGGATTTCAGGTCGGCACAGAGGTCCATCACCACCTTGACTGTAGTGAGCAAGGGACATCAAGACATCTAGAAAATTAAGAGAAATCCCAGTCAGTCACACTTTCAAATTTCTTCATACACTGGAATTCATTTACTCATTGAACAGCAATTTTGTAGAAACAATTTTCTATTTTACTCCATTTTCCTCATGAGAGAAATACCCACAAAGGGCTCCAGAACAAGTAAAAGGTGGGAATATTTACAGTGTCTTTCCTCATTCCTTCCAGATTTCTACACGTCATTATAAAAATGCTCCTGTATAGCTTTTTTAGTTCAAAAGTCTTTAAAATCCACATAATTTAATTTCAAAAGTACATGATAAAATACTACTTTATTGCATTGGTTTTTCATTTAGAACAAGTAAGGAGGAAATCAGCTTCTGTGACAGTGAATTACTTTGTGAAGAACCCTAATTCTGCTTCAAAGTTGCCAGAGGAAAACTGTATAAAATATTAAAACTCTGTGTGTCCAGCAGGAAACAGCAGCACAAGACCCCTCAGTTAGCTGAGCCCCGAGTTTCAGAAAACTGATCACCTACACAATGAGACCATTCATGATTTTAGAGGCTTTATGTACACACATTACAGCTGAGCCTGGACACTGAATTCCTCTCTGCTGGGAACAAATTCAGCACTTGCCCTGAGCTGTGGTGTAGCTGATGTGACTGCTTCTCAGCTCTCCCAGCAAATCCATTCCCAGCCAACACTCCCTGCCTGCCTGCCCTCCCTTTTCTGCTCTAGTGGCATTCAGAGAGTGCTTTCATTTTTCCCTGGAACAAAGACATCCCAGAGTGCCTCATCTTAGCAGAAAATCCACAAAAGTATGCCAGTCCTGAGAAGGGAATACAGGAGATTGTTCTACCCCAGAAATGTAAGGAGGATCTGGGGAAGCCTTCTTCAAGGCTTGACACTGAGCACTTTTATTTTTAAAGGATGGCCAGAAAGCATCTTGCTCAGATGGAAAGGAATTTACCAGCAGGTTAGATTTTTACACCTCCATTTAATAAGAAGCTACCAATCCACACACAAGGCTCTGGAAGCCGTGAGGCCTACCAGGCTACACCAAACTGGGAGAAACACTTGGCTGCACATCTACAGCCACACAACAGGAATGGAGAAATACCTTGCAAACATCACAAGTCCCAGCAAATGTCCTGCTATTTAGCAACAGGAAGGAAAGAAGGGAATCACTGTTGATTATCATATTGCTACCACAACCAAGAGCTTTCAAACGACAAGAGCTGGACTGAGCTTCCCCAGACCAGATTTCATCAGCACAAGGGACAGTTTTACTGTGTGTCAGGAGGCAGAGCTCTTACCCAGCACAGCAATGCACTCCACAGCTGTCTGCCAGTCCTTGCTGTTCTTGGCAAAGTTGTAGAAGAGGCGCCTCATGCAGTCCTTGAGGGCGGCGTCACGGCGCTCCTCGGCGTTCACCATCGCAGCCAGCATCTTCTCTATCTCCTTGGTCCAGTAGCGCTTGTAGCCCTTCCTGCTGGACCTCAGCTCGTATTCCTCGGGCAGGTTGCGGGATATGACACTTTCTGGGATTTCCATCTGGTACCTGTTCTTGCCTGTCCCCCAGTACTGCACGGATTTGGACCCGAGCAGCTTGCGTTGCTTATCCAGGTACCTCCGAAGATCCTCCTCGAGAGCTCTGATATCCTCTAGTGCTCCATCATAATCGGGGTCAAAACCTAGCTTGGGGGTGATCACCCCTGTCTTCCGAGCCTGGTTGTGATCAAAGGCAGTGTCCCACCTTGTGAGCTCTGCAGTCAAGTCTGGGAAGCGGCCATCGGGATTTTGGGCTTTGCGAGTGACCAGCTGCTTCAGCACTCTGGATTTGAAGTCACTGGCAAACTCCTCCATGAATTCGACAATTTCATTCATTATTTTGAATCCCTCCAGGGTAGACAGAAAGTCAGCAATTTTTTTTTTGCTGTATTTGATTTCTTCATAGAAGATGGCCCTGCTGTCAGGATGGTTCTGACTTTTGAGTGGTGATCCAATGCTGTGAATTTTGCTGAGCAGTCTTTCAAGGTCAGGTAGTTTCTTGAGGTACTCACTGACTTCAGACATTTTATCTGGCACTTCCAGGAGGTCTTCAACAGCATCCAAACGATCATTGATGGATTTAGGGTTACAAAGTGGAGCGCAGAGCCACTGTTTCAGGAGTCGCTTCCCAAATGGTGTACAGCAAGAATCAATCCTCTCCAACAAAGTACCTTCTGTGCTTCCATTGGTTCCATTCTGCAGGACTTCCAAGTTCATCAGGGTGACTCCATCCAGCACCATCCGCTGGCCAGTTCTGGCAAACAAACTACCTGAACTCATGGTTTTTGCAGTAGCAATATCCACAGGGACATATTCCTCGAAGTTTGCCTGTGATAACAGCTCCTGATCAATCAGACATCTTTTGAGATAGAAGACACATCCCCCAAGAGCTGACAAAGCTAATTCACTGTTTTCACCAGGAGTTAATCCCAGGGAGTCACTCTCTGAAGTCAGAGATTTGATTACAGAGGGCAGAGAACATCCATTTTCAGAATTCTGCTTCTCCTTGAAATATCCTTCCTCGAGAAGGACTTTTAGTGTTTTAGATGCATTCCAGAACTGGGAACCCGAGGTCAGCCCTTCCTGAATGCAAGAAACAAGTGAGCCTTTCAGTATCTTCTGTGTGTCCACAGACAGGTTGCCCTTCTCAAACAGCACCTGCACAGGGGTGTAGTGAGCTACCAAAGTCCTAAACCTGGAGCAGTGGCGGTCGTCTGGGAACTGGCCAACATGGAACTTCCCCATGGAGGTGTCGACGAAGCAGACCCCGTAGACGCGCGTCCCGGCTGAGTCCTCCTTCTCCTTCACACACAGCAGGAACTTGCTGTGGTTCTCGGAGGGGTCGCAGTCCATGACGCTGTAGGTCTTGGTTCCCTTGGTGATGATCCTGCAAATCTCCCGGCGCACCACCTTGTCAAACTTGGTGGACTGGCCCTTGGACTTGCAGCGTGCTTCCATCATTTCAGGCGTTTCCGTCTGCTCCACGCGCGCCACCTTGTAGCCCTTCTGCACCAGGACGTCAGAGAATCGGCCAAACGCAGTTTCTGGAAAACCTGAGTGGGCCCAGGTGCCCTTCATAAAGATCAGGCCCAGCTCATTGACGCCAGTGACTGCGTCCATGTGATACAATTCATAGAACTTTCCGACCTTGTAGCAAATCACAGCATCAAAGTTTTGGCTCTTGAGCTGCCACCACCTGCGCACGCCCGGCGTGCACTTGTTGAGGTAATCCTCGGGCACGTACAGAGTGCAGGGGTCGTAATCGGGGTCACCCTGACGCCTCCTGTGCGCATCTCTCCTCTTCCCTTCTTGCAGCCAGTCAAGCTTCTCGTGTTCCCACACTGAGAAGCCACCAGTGCCTCCACTGGAAGCATTTGCTTGAGATTCAAAACTTTCAGGTGCTGCAAACGATGTCAGCTTAGATTTGGCTTCTGAAGAGACTGTTGCTGCTCTTTTGGGTGTTTCCGAACATTCATTTCCCAGGCTACTCCTTTTAGCAGGCTTTTTCACCTCTCTTCTCTTTCGTTTAGCAGGGACTTTTATGGGGCTCTCTGCCTCTGTCTCTGCGTCAGAAGACTCGTTTTCATCCACCCCACTACTGGCTTCCTCACTGCTTGCTGCTTCTTTCCCATCAGGCTTGAACTCCACATCAGAGCCATCGTGGTCACTGTCAGAATCCAACACTCTCCTTCTCTTGGTTTTTACAGCTCTCTCCCTGCTCATTACTCGCTTATTGCTTTTCACGTCCTCCTCACTATTGCAGTCTTCACTACTGCCTGATGCATTTTCACTCATCTCCTGGAAAAATAAATTATTTTGTTTGTAGATAATTCTGGCTACAAAGATACTGCTGCATAAAGAAGTGCAAAAATGTGCAATAACACAGTACTTATGATGCTTCAAGCAAGAGACAGCAGAGCCACAGTCAATTCCATCTTAACAGATGTCAGTTTTTTTCTGGATAACTAACTGCTACTGGCCAGTGAAATAATTACTCTTATTTGTATTCTTTAGAGACTCATTCATTACTGTAATTATGTGATGCTGATGAACAAAGCATTTAAACTACACAAAAAAGAATATGGCATATGTAGGAGAAAGAAAAGCCACTTCTTTATTTACCTTTTCAGCCTCAAACTTTAATTGAAAACCAGCAGTGGAGGGACTGTAGTGAGTACAAAGTGCCACTGCACACAATGCCTGAAGTGGCATTGAGGACCTGTCCCTCAGGGCACTGTCACACTGGAGACTGAGTATATGAGCTAAGGGAAAACACCACCCCACTGACAGTTTACTCATACCATTTCTCTCCAAAGAAATCCATCCCAAGGCATATGGTGCTACTGAAATAATAGCTGAATCAAGACAACACAAATACAGTAGAATAAAACATCACTTTTTAGTTACCCCACCAAGACTGCTGTTAACAGTGCAAGAACTGGTATTTTAATGCTACTCCACAAGATGAGGGTGGGCCCCAAAAATTCAGTTTAATGCCTTAGATGAAGGCTATAAATTTATACATTAAGACACAGTAAAACTTCAGATCAAACTTAGGGCAACTTGGACTATGAATAGCAGATAGCGAAGATAAAATGATGCGTGAGAAAAAAGCATTTCTGAGTGAAAAAGTAGGTCACCAGGAAGTGATGAGTGAAGAGAGTCAGAGAAGTTAAGTAGACTCTGAGGTCAGTCCTTACCATACAGGACACCAAACAGACTTGTGTTTCCAACTAGAAAAGATGAGAGACCAGCATATGACCTGACAACACAGAAGCAATAAAAAAAAAAAGACAAATGGATACATATGAGGAGATAAGCTGTGATTACTGTACCAGAGAATTGCAGGATATTCCATGCTTAGCTCCAAGTTACAGCTTCTAAGTTCTAACAATATTTCTGCAAATGACAGCAATTAAGAAACATTTTACCTCTATTTCTTCCTCTTCCTCCTCTGTGTCTGAAGGCTCATTGCATACTGCCAGTTCAAGCCTCTTGATTTTATCTTTCTTCATGGCATCATCTGCCAGTACCATGGCTCTTTTAATTTCAGGCTTTGTGCTGTAAAACATACCTCCCTTCATTGTCTCCCTGTCTGATGAACCTGTAAAAAACACAGATTTGTTAAGAACAAATGCCAAATGCTAGACTTAATATTTGTTAAGTCTAGAATTTAGCCAGTGTTCATAGACCACTTTTAAATGTATTCAGACAACTAGCATTCATATTCAGATAACTAAACTTCTGTGCTGCTACCACTCATTCCCACCACATCTTAAATACAGCAACCTATCACTCCTTCATCCTGATGAACTACCCCTGGGGAAAGAATACACATTCACAAATGAAATGCCTACCTACATGAACACTCGAAGAATTGCTTCTATTTCTGTAGCTCATTAGCACACGTGAGCACTCCTAGGCTGAGCTCTGACTCACACTGACTGTAGTCAGTACTGAATTCAACACTGGCAGTGCAGCAGACAGACCTGACTAAGACCACAGGGCTGTTTTAGCAATGGCAGGTAAGTTCAGCCAGAGTTATCTCCACTTTCTAGGCACAAGCCAGCTATGGCACAGACCTCAAAGCTCTTCTGGCCTCCAACTGCTGCTCTAAGTGCAGCCCCAGCCCATTAGCCAGATTAGCTGATGGCCAATCACACTGGCCACTCAGCCTGACACTACAGGGCAGTGAACAAAGCCTGCTATTAATAACTGCTCCATGCCCTCCTCCTCCTGCACAGCCCCTCCTGCCACCACCTGCACACAACACAAACCCAAAGCCAACCAGTCCACAGACTGATTTCAGATCCTTTTCCCCACTCCTGTGAATCCCATCACTGCTTCAGCTCTAAACCAGTGGCAGGCAAAGGCACCAGACTTGGAGGAGGCCAAACACCCCAGAAACAACTCAAACAAAATCCTTACTCACTATCAACTCCGAGTTTGCAGTAGCAAAGCAGGGAGTTACAAGTAGCTGCTTCTACAGCACAAAGGCAACACATTAACAATCCAGATCTCCCCTTTGGTTTTCCAAATGCAATGAGGCAGTCTAAAAATATTTTGCATTAATATTAAATGCGACTGAACAACGTCAGAAGAACAATCTTCTCATGTAGTTGATCTGCACACTCAAGGGTGCAACACCTGCATATTCACTTAACCAGCTGCTATGCACCTCCATTTCCTCATGCCCACCTGTTACAGGTCTGGCCCTGTGCTGTCCACATTTACTCAGGTACAAAAAATAACACAACCCAAGACACCTATCAAATTTCTTACTCAAAGACTCTAACACCTTTCCTTTGTATACAAAGATGCTTTTTGTTTGAATTTAAAGCAAACCAGGTATTTTAAATATTTTTACTCCATTCTGCATTCAACACTTCTCCTGTGACAGACCTGTATATCTGTGCTTAAGCTTCATTTTGGTGATTTTCTTTTGGTAAACAAATTTCCCTTACCTGTATTTGCTTCTACATGCAACTACAAGCTCTCACAATATTTTGATTGTTTTCAAATACTTTCAGGAAAGATACATATAACCATGGACCAATTTACTTGCAATAAATTTTAATAACACTCATGTCAATAATATTACCATTTTAATTAGAAACTATGGCTGCTGTGCAGTATGCTGAAGTACAGAGACAAAAACGTGGCCACGTGGTCACGAGATGGAACTCTGACTCTTAAAAGGGAGAAACTATTTAAATTCAGTCTTTTTCAGTGACACAAGCAAATCCTACAGGGCATCAGAAATACTGTATTACATATGAAGTAACTGACGAACAGAACAGTTTACAGACAATTATTTAGTTTTCAGCAACAGGAAAATTATGAAAAAAAGGGGAAAACTGATTATGTTTATTTAAAAAGTGAGACTTATGCAAAACATTAACTCTTCATTACATTTGATTTGCACTAGTTAGCCATGTCATTTCTTCACTATCACAAACACCAACTCTCATCTGTAACTACAAGCACTGCCCTCACCAACACCCAATTCTCAAGTTATATCTTTTATTTACAAAACTGCTGCACTGCTGAGAAGCAACACTTCTGCAGCAGAATTAATTTTATTAACCCAATATCCTAGACCCAGCCTTTTAATTGTGGAAATACTGCAGTTCTTAAATAGCTGCTTAAAAACTGCGTTTTACACTCAAATATATTAAGGATATTAGGGCTAAAAGTGGAAATACTAGATTTATCTTTTACATAATTTTTATACTGAAATAAAGAAAGTATCTCCAAACTCAGCAAGCTTTAAGGTTTCTTAATTAGTTGTTCTAATCCAATACACGAAAGGGCTTAGTGTTCTATGTTTCAAGAACTGTATCAACACAAATGTACCTGTAACCCTCAAAAACTTGTCTCTTACAAAGCACAAAGCATGTTCAATTCTACTCTTGGTCTTGCTGCTCTTTCTCTATGGAGAATAATATATCCTATATTCCAAAACAAGTGATATATTTACATTTCAAACAGTTTTGTTTCTGCCTCTTACCTTTATATGGCTTCAGGTATTTAACACTGATCCAACCCCTTGTAGGGCTGTCATCAAAGAACTGCACGTGGACACGAGTGGCTTTTCCTTTTCCTCTGAGAATTGTTCTTTCAGTGGGGTGGTTGTATATGAGACATGGCCACCAGGGATAACCTTCCATCTTGGCCCACACCAAGTCCCCAGGAGAATACTCACAGGAGACACTGCAGAGATAACAAATGTGTCATTTAAGGAACACAAACACTTGGAACAGCTCTCTTCATAAATGTCACTGCACACTGCTGCTGAGCATTTTGCCCTCTTATGGCCTTTAGAAGCCTCCCAGGGGGTGCAACCTGGATTACACAGTTCTCCCATACCACCACCAATGCCTTTTTTTATTTGCTCCTCCAAATTCTGCTGGATTCCCACAGGGACAGAGCTTTATCACAGATGTTTGGGCTCAAAGGCACCCTAAAGATCACCTAGTCCCAACCCCTTGCCACACACAGGGACACCTTTCACTATCCCAGGTTGCTCAGAGCCCCATCCATCCTGGCCTTGAACACTTCCAGGGATGGGGCATCCACAGCTTCTCTGGGCACCCTGTGCCAGTGCCTCACCAACCTCACAGTGAAGAATTTCTTCTTAATATCTAATTAGACCTACTCTCTTTCAGTTTGAAGCCATTCCCCCTTGCCCCATCACTACATGCCCTTTTCCTGTAGAAATTAATTTTCAACCAGGCACCTAAAGAAAAGAGTAAGACTTAAAAACCCCTCAGGCTACAAAAAAATGAATAAATAAAAAACTCTACCTGCACTGCAAAGCACCTAATGCAGCTTTTATTTGCTCTCTCCTCCTTCCCACAGAAGGAGGAGAGAGCAATTTCACCTCAGCCACTGCTGCAGTGCCACAGATGATGGCTGGGGATGCTCCTGCAGGCTGCGGCCCAACAACCAGTGACACTCAGTTTGCTGATATGTGGCACACTTGCCGTCTCTTCAGCACAAGAGAGACATGGAGCTCTTGGAGCAGGTCCAGCAGAGGACAACAAAGATGATTATGGGAATGGAGCATCTCTCTTAAGAGGAAAGGCTGAGGGAGCTGGGCCTGTTCAGCCCCGAGGAGAGATGATGAGAGGGGACTTGATCAATATGTACAAATACATAACTGAGGGGTTGCCAAGAAGACGGAGCCAGGCTTTGCTTGGTAATACCAAGCATTAGGACAAGAGACAAAGAGCACAAAGTTCCACCAGACCACAAGGAAGAGCTTCTTGGCTGCGTGTGTGACTGAGCACTGGAACTGCCCGGCCAGAGAGGTGGAGTCTCCCTCACCGGGGATGTTCGAACCGTCTGAACACAATGCTGTGCCATGTGCTCCGGGATGACTGCTCGGCCAGATGCCCCACTGGGGCCCCTTCCAGCCTGACCACTGTGTCATCGATACAGCACGGAAGGCAAATTTGACACACAAGTACGACACCACTTCCAAAGAGCAGAACGCCGTCCCGCGGGCGTCCCAGTGTCCCGCCGCCCGGCCCCGCCGGGAGCACAGGCCGCTGCGGGCCGGCCGCGGGCCCGGCCGGGAGCACAGCCAGGGAATGCCGGGGGCTGCGGCGGCGGCGGGGCGCGACACGGGCACCCCGGGGTCCCGCCCGCACCGCCGGCGGCTGCGGCTCCGTCCCGCCCCGCTCCCCGTCCCCGCCGTACCTGGGGGCCTTGGCGGCCGCGCCGCCCCCCGCGCCCTTCTCGCCGTGCTCGCCGCGCCGCGCCGCCGCTCGGCCCGCCCCGCCCGGGGGGCTGCCGGCGGCCTGCAGCCCGTTCCGCTCCCCCAAGGAGCGGCGGCGGGGCTCGCCGCGGGGCTCGCCGCCGGCTGCCGGCGGCGGGGCGGCCCTGGGGAAGAAGCGGAGCAGGGTGCTCTGCCGAGACATGGCCGCGGCGGGAAGCGCGCGCCGCCCCGCGCGCCAAACCCGCGCGCCGCGCCCCGCCCCGCCCCGCCCCCGGGTTTGGCGGGAAGCGCTGAGGGGCGGCCCGGCCCCTGAGTCCCGCTGCCCCCGGGGGCTGCGGAGCCGGGACATCTGGAAACTTCCGTGCGAAGGACGTTCGGGATGGCTGATCTTCGCCTGCTTCCTGCCCTAATCAACGGGGAAGGGGATTTAACCCGTGAAACAGCCGCTGAGGAACAGCCCCTTAGTGATGTCCGGGTGTTAAAAAGACAATGACTTGTGGGTAGGGTTACCTTGTGAAGGTTCAGGGCTCGAAGTGATCTCCCCACCTCAGGGGAGGTTAACAAAGCCTGGGGAGAACGATGTGCAGCTGATAGTGGCCACGAAGAATGCAGAATTTATGGGCCACGAGGACATTTGGCGGGACCCCAAAGATAAGGAAGAAACTAATAAAGACAACTCGGCAACTGTGCTGAACCAGCTCCAACTGGGTAAAATGTAATTCTGGCAGGGGGACATGGTGACCATCATCTCACCAAGGCACAGACCCAAGAAACCACTGACCCAAAAGAAGGGGAAGACTGAGTATGGGACTAGTCAGCAGGAGAAGCGAGACAATCATTAATAACCAGAAGACAGAATACTAATTAATAAGAAAACTATGTAACTTTTAGCCAGTGAACATTTGTGCAATTGTTTAATAAAATGTATAAATATTTAAAGGTTTTGGTAGTTTTTGTGCTGGCATTGTGGCTTTGCCACCCAGCACCCTTTTCTGTGCAGAACTGAGAATAAATCAAACACCTCAACTCTGTGTGTGGATTGGCCTCTCGCATGCCAAGTCAAAAATATATTTTGAGACAACAGCTATTGCCCCCAAATCCCTTTCCCTGCCTGCCATGGGGCCACAGGGCTTGTTATGGTCAGTGGTGTGACTGCATGAGCTGCAGTCTTCCCAGAAAAACATCCTCAGGGAAGAAGAAGTTGTGGCAGTGGCATTGGGCAGTTTCCTTCCTGCCCTGCAGCGCTGTGGTGGGAACAGGAGAAGCTGCTACGTGGCTGCAGGAGAAGCTTGGGCAGTTGCTGTCCCCACTTCTCAGCCGGTTTCACTGCAGATGCACAGCAGAGCTAAGAAGTGGCAGCTTAAATAACAAGATCACTTCCCATGATTTTTTTTTTTTTTTCATATGAATTGGTGAGGCTGTGTCCTTTAAAAGCAATTTTTTAATGCATTATTACACATGGCACAGGTGGTGTGACTCTTGGAGCTGTCCTGTGCGTGGCCAGGAGCTGGAACTCGATGATACTTGTGGGTCCCTTCCAGCTGGGAGTATTCTGTGGTTCTGTGACTCTGTAAGACAATTCCATTCCATGGTTCTTGGCTGGTATGTTTGAGATATACAGGAGGACCAACAAAAAAGAACAATTTATTTTTATGAGCTTAAATCCACAGAAAATTTATTTGCTTATTATAATTTTGCAAATATTATAATAAAATTGTGTTACCCTCAAATAATATTTGCAAATATTATAATAAAAATAATTATTATTTCCTTAGTATTACTTTGCAAATTATTATTTGCCTCCAGATGCCAGTTAGCACAGCTTTTCCTGTCACTAACATTGCTGCTTGACATTTCAGGTCAAAGCATCTCCTTCCCTGCTGATCGGCTGTAGGAGACAAAGCCACAGGTGCGCTCCCACCGCCAGCAAAAACGTGGAACTGCAAGTTAGGGCTTTAACCACAAGAGGTCCTGCAAATCCAGCCGATATGGAAGAATTTTGAAAGTCTGTTCCTTCTAAAAGAACTATTTGCTTTTAACATCAAAGCATAACTTCCATTTAACTTGTCATCTACTGAATTCAGAAACAGTCTGATGTGGTCTGTGTCTCAAACTGAAGTAAAAAAGCAAAGGCATTTATTTTCCAGAGAAAAGTGCAGCAGATTCCCCTGCATGTGGCCTGTGGAGTGCATGGAAGTGGAACATGCTGCAGGTGTTCCCCCCTCAGCAGGTGTTGCTGTTCCTATCAAAAACACTCACCAGGACCAGTACCTGCACAAGTGTTTGGGTGACTCATTTTTGTCAATTTTTTTGCTGTAAATAGTCAGCACAATTTAATTTTTTCTGGAAAATGACAGTGATCATCCATCTTGCAGATAGAAGCAGGGAGATGGGATGAGACAGGAAGGGGAAAAACTTGGGTGAATGCTGAAAACAGGCTCAGATTTAAAGATAGACTGTTTTGAACAGACTCCTGATAGATTCTCCCTGGAGATTACTCTTGTATGCTCATATGAGGAATGGAGCTGACAGGAAAACATGAAGGGCCATCTGAATTTGGTGGCCTCCTGAGCCAAGATAGTATGAGTGGCCCAGAAGTCATTTTATTGTTGGGGTTGAGTTTGGTGGCCCTGGGGTTTCTTCAGGCTGGGAGGAGCATGAGTCAGTCCTGGTGACTCTGCTAGAAGAGGGGCAGGTTACTGATTTGACAACACTGTAAATGTCTCAAGAAGAGACTGTGAACCTTAAACTTCACAGACCACGTGGTTCAAAAGTTTGAGGAGCCTGGCAACTTTTTAATGTCCCATTCCACCATACCCATTCTCCAGGTTTGGGGTGTCCCCGTGTCTGTGTCTGGGCATGCCTCCGTTTATGGTGACAGCCACTTGAAAAATGTCACACTGGAAACACACCTAAGTCTGTCATTTAGAAAGTCTGGATCCAACATTGGACACCCTTGCTAAGGTGATAGCTGCAAAAATGTAGAAATTTAAATTTGCAGTAATGGGTTGTTGTATACCCCTTTTTCTCTGGGATCATCAGGCTGGGGGAAACACAGAACACAACAGCATTTGTTAGCTATCTTTTGTTATGCTGTTATTAATAGAAATATTTAATTTACAAATACATTTACACACTGCATTCATTTATTCCTTCATATGGTTCACAAACATCTGCACTGACAGGTGGAGCAGGAGTTGGGAGACTAACCCCAGCTGGTTACTTAAAAGCAGAGGTGTGTATTGATGTGTCAGGATGTCATCAGGAAGTCCCTCCAGATCATTTTGTTTCACCATTTATATATGTGTGTGTGTGTGTGTGTGTGTGTGTGTGTGTGTGTGTGTGTGTGTGTGTGTGTGTGTGTGTTTTATATATCCATATCCATAGATAGACACTTTTGAAGTTTTGAATATAGGATCCTTCATGGATGTTGCCTGCGTTGTGCAACACCCATGGCTGATGCCAGTGGGTTTGGACAGATTGGGCAGATTTAAACTGTGCTCAGTTTATCAGTTTTTGTGGATTCAGCAGGACTGTGAAGTCTCTGGAGCTTATCAGCTCTTGGCAGACACTCAGATGCTACTGCTTGGCACACACATCCCTCTCTTCAGCCTGCTTGTTCCTGGTGCCAATTTCTCCATCCACACTCATGCCTGGTAGAGCCATTCACACTAACTGAAGCTGAGGGGCTTTTTAGGACAGGGTCTTCATCTTCTCCCTAGTAAAAGACATAATTCTACTTGGTTTTCCACCAATCTCAGCAGGGTAGGTTCTAGAATAATTAAAACATGAAAGTCTGAAGTTGTTTGATAGGAAGTTACAAAAGGTGTTTTTACTGAAAACTCTACGAACTTCTCTATCCTCCTCCCTATTTTAAAATTTCCTAATTTTGAAGAGAAAGCCATTGGGAATTATAAAGTTTCTGTAGTACAGACTTCACACGAAACTCAGCTGAACACAAAAAAATGCTGTATTTATCATAATTCTTTTCCTCTCTTTCCCCCTGAAAATACATACATATATACTCCCACACAGCTCTCAACCAAGCTTTTTAGCTTCCTGAAGTGGTTCTGAGCATTTTCCATTCTAGAAACAGTGGAAATGGAACGGATTTGGTTTTTTTTCAAGATTAGAGCTCAACATTTTTGAAATGAAACAACTTTGGCTATACCTAGCTTTTCTAGGTTATTCAGTGACCATCTGCTATACATAGGCCTTCATCCAGAGTTTAGAAGAATTCATTTCTATATTGTTAGTTGCTGGAATAAGGAAAAAGCTACAAGGTAATTGTGGGGTCTTTCTGGAAAAAAATGAAGTCATGTATATCAAGAAGGATACTTAATACCTAAAACAGAAAAGCAAAGTGCTCTTGAAGCCAGGTGCCTGGTTGTTTATCTTCTGTACTGTTTGCTACCTCTCAATATTCTTTGGAAGATGCATTTAACAAGAACAAAAAGTCATTCCTTGTGTCAGGGGTCTTGCTCTTGAAGTTGCCAGGTGCAGTCAAGAGCAAATTGATGAGGCTTAGGGAGCAGCAGGAGCAAGGCTGCTCCTGGCAGAGGCAGAGCCTTTGCTGACCCAGCTGATGCAGACCCCCAGCATCTGAATCACAAAATTACCTGGGCTGGAAGGGACAGCATTCAGTTTTTCATCCACCAGAAGCCCCAGTCCTTCATGGCAGGGCTGCTCTCAACCCTTTCATCCCCCAGCCTGTGCTGGCACTGGGGTTTGCCCTGACCTCTGTGCAGGACCTTGCACTTGGTCTTGCTGAGCTTTACATGACTCTCACGGGCCTCAAGCCTGTCCAGGTCCCGCTGGATGTCACCCTGTCCCTCAGGCACATCAGCTGCACCACTTATCTTAGTGCCACCTGCAAATTTGCTGCTGCTGCACTTGATCTCACTGTCCATGTCCCTGCTGAAGGTATTAAATACCGCTGGTGCCAGTCTGGGGGACACCACTCACTCCTGGTTCCCTGTCACTGTGTTCTTTTAAAAGTTTTAAGGTTCTTTTAAAAGTTTTCTATGTTTTCTGATGTTTACATATTTCTACTAGAGTTTCTCATGCACTGTTTGTGTAAATAATGATTGTTTTACATCCTTCTATGTGGGAAGAGAGAATTAATAGAGTTGGTTTCACCAGTGTGGCTGGAGAGGTGACAATTTCATCCTCCAGTCCACTATCACTTTTAGAATTCTATATATTGCAAGGTCAGAAATAAAATTTCCTCCTTTTGTTCTTTTAAATCTTAGAGTGAGTGCGTAGGTTATTTGGTGTTGTAGCGCGAGAGTTCCCCACATGGGCATTGAGCTGTGTGGGCAGCACAGGGTCCTGGTCTCCTCAACAGCCCCAGGCAGGGTGAGCTCATGGATCAAATCCAGGGTCAGTCCAGGGGGAAGGGCTGCAGGCAGGCACAGCTGCAGGGAGCATCACTCAGGCACGGGCTGGGTCCTCAAGGCAAACAAAAAATGTTGATATCAAAGTTTTGAAACGTTGGTATAAAACTTTTGAAAACTTTTGAAAAAAGCTTTCAAAAGCAAATTCCAGATGAAATTTGCTAAGAGAGTTTTATGTGTGAGAATCAGTGTCAAGAGCAGTCTAGGAAATTTCACTTTGGTGTGTGTTGGAAGCACCAGCTGTGTGCACTATCCCTCTCTATGTGTCTGCTGAGGTGAGTGACAAATTTGCTTCCAGAGCTAAGAGAAAGCTCTTAAAGTGGGGGAAAAAAAACCCAAGGGCTAGCTATTATAGGTAGAATTTTCTCATTTTGAACTAAACTGTTACAATTTCATTATCCCAATTTTTTGCAGCTGTCCCACTGTGACAACTCTAACACTTTTCACTTTTCTCCTTTATTATATACACATTTCTCAAGAATTTTTTATATCTTTTGTTTTCATTTTTTGGCACAAGAAACTACTGTGGACAAAGATCATGGGATTTAACTGGCTTTATGGGGCTGCTGCAAACACCTAGTAATTATTTAAAAAAACGTGAATTCACTCTGGCCTGCAAATAGCTTCTGGGGAGTGGGAAGAGGAGTCCACTACTTCATTTGATTAATGTGTGTCTTTTCTCTGAGGCTGACTTGGTCTCCACAGAGGTGAGGTGATCAGAGGTAACCTAAGTGCTTTGCAGGCCTTACCTCAGTGACAGAGGCTGCCAGGCCAGTCTTAGACTGTGAGGTGGAACAATTCACAGGAGCAGTTTCATCATGCTGATATAGACAGGCCTGAAGGCAATGTTGACCTTTCTCAGAAGTCACCCCAAAGGAGGATTTAAGGATGAGGTGAACGCTGCAAATAAGGCAACCAGTGAAAATGTTATGTTTTAGAAAAATACGACCATGACAAAATGTTTATGAGTACTGAGGTCATTCTGACCTAAATATAATCAATCTGGTAGGCTGCTAAAAATCACATATTCTAATACACTAATTTGTATAGTGTCACTGTTGAGCAAGAAATGACGCAGACCATCCCATGCTTTCCATCACCACATTAATCTTCCAGAGGTCTTGTATCAATCTCCATTTCCCAGACTTTTTCTTTATCACAAAGATGGGAGTATTCCAGGGACTTGTAGAAGTCCCCCACAGATTGATCGGGATTGAAGCAACATAGGGTGAAACTGCAGCCACCTGTCCACTCGCATTGCCAATGAGCACGAGGTGTTGGCTCATCAAGGTATGTGCTGGACCCCCCACCCCTACAATGGATGTTCCCACAGGGGTCAAAGCCATGCAGGAAGCCACACTGAGAGGGAGATGATAGTCATGTCCACCCCCGCATCAATCAAACCTTGCAGCTCGATCTTCAATGGGTAGGCACCCAGTAGGGCCAGGGTACACACCATCTGGGGTCTCTGAGTGGAAATTGTCACAGACCAGAAGGCTCGTGGCAGTCCCATGGATCTGAAGCCACCACTCCCACGAGTCTGCAGGTCAGTCCTGGGGACACATGACTGAAAAAGCACAAGTTGAGCAATTTGAGTTCCTGCCGGAATAGTGACAGGGGGAGAGGGTGTGAAAACCGTGGCAAAAACCAGACCTGAAAAGTCAGAGTCAATGACTCCTAGGTGAACAAAGATTCCTCGGTGGGTGACATTAGATTAGACATTAGACTCCCCACAAGCAGCACACCCATTCCCTGTCCCAAAGGTCCAAACATGTCCAAAGGAACCTTATGCTCATGACAGGACTTAAGGTGACTGCACCAGCGGTATGTACACCCACACCAGCAGAGCCATGGGTGATGCCTCCAAGTTGGCTGAGCAAACCTGAGCCAGCACTGTGCTGTGAGGAATCACTTGTGTCAGAGTGCAATTCCCCTGTACGCTCTTCTTCCTGTTTTGGGGCCTACCAAAGGCTGACCATTAGTGTGAAATTTGCATTGGTTTGAATAATGACCTGCCTTTAGGCATCTAGAGCACAAGGAATTGGTACTTGGGTCTGTTTGCTTGTGCATTCCTTGCTTTTTCTTGCCCTTATTTTTGTTCGTCTTCCATTGTCCACCCCCTAAGGGTACCTGGCCTGGCTGTGTAGCAACCACCAGAGGGAACCAGCACCTGTCTTGATACATGCATCAACCATGTCTGCTACCGATGGCTCACCGGGAAGAGCATCTACCATCCTCTGGCACTCACTGTTCAAGTTGAACCGGACCAAATGAATAAGGTCTCCCTTAAGGGAGCAGCAAGCTTCTTGGCAAATGGAAAAAAAGGCTCTCCTGGTCCCTGAATTATCATTATGCTTTGGGGCCTGGGGGAGGCCACCTCAATGGTAATGCACCAAATCCTACACTTTGACAGTGCTCAAGAACAACAGAGTCCCAGGTAGCCTGAAAATCAGGGCTGGAAAAGGCCTGCTCCCTGAGGAGAGCATCCACCCCCAGACCATAACTAGGGTTACCCTGGGGCAGAAGCCTGTTTCTTGCTGCAACCTTTGCAGCAGCCCGTGTCCAGTACTTCATAAAAATTGCATATCGCACAGACTGGAACAGTGCCTGAGCAATATATTTAATATAAAATGGAGCAAGCAGGTCTGAGGCTATCACTCTGAGAGCCTCCATTAGTTGCTCAGAGCTAAGGCCATGTTTTGCAGCCTGGTCTCACAGATCCTGGATCACCTGCCAGGCAATCACACTATGCTTGTCAGTGTGTCCTGCATTTGGGACAGCTTTAAACACAGGAAGACCTTGCACCTCGCCTTGTGGCAGAACATGGTCCTCCTGAACCATCCGTGCCCCTCCTTCAGACGTCAGACAAGCCACCTGACACCTGTGGCCCCACCCCCTGAGACAAGTGTGGTGTTATCAGCTGTACACTGTGGTCTTCTTGCCCTGCCCAACAGATCCCCACCCCCAGCTTATGAAGCTTGTGCCTTAACTGCATCCCAAAAGCTGTGGGGATTCTTGGGGCGCACAGTCACCCGACAGGGAGGCAAAGTCCAGAGGTTATGGATGATTATTCCACCTGTCGGTGCCAGCAGTCTACCACCGGGACACGCCCCGGCCAGGGGACTGGCCACTGTCCGTCATCATTGTCCGGGTTCCCATCTAGGGATGGGGAGGACAGCCAGTGGCTAACGGTGGGTGTGGGATCAGCCAAAGGGTCTGGATTCGAGAGGCCAACTGCAGGCTGAGAAACCGAAGACCTAGTTACAAGCCTAGATGCAGGGGGGCTGCACCAGCGGAGGTGCAAAAGACATTAAGTCAACCAAGTTGGCCACCGTGCCAGGATGAGGAGGAGGCAGCCGCCCTGCAACCAAAGGCAGGGGAACAAAAAAAGACACAGCCCCCGCTGTGTGATTCACGGTCACAGTCGCTGCCACCTGCGCAGGCGCCATGGAAAAGGAGCGGGAAACCGGCCGGGGGCATGACGTCGGATGCAGCGGGCACTCGCCGACAGGCATTGACGATGGGCATGGCTGGTGCAGCCACGCAGGCCCCGTGGATGACAGCAAGGGGTGACCAGTGATTTCGTGGCGACCGCTGATGCCAGAGCCAACCCCGTGTCTCCTGTGCGCAGTGGGGGCAAAGGGGGGGCGGTCGCCGCAGTGATCCCCTGGCTGCTTTTCACAGGAAAGAGGGAACCAACCTGCCAGGGACAGAGGGGTTGAAAGCGGCGGAGATGGAGAACTCCCGTCTTCCAGGCACGGCCGAGATGTGGCTATTGCTCTTGGTGGCATTGATGTCAGAGAAAGAGCAGACAGCCACCTCCCAAAAGTGTAGGGATCAGGGCTTGTCGGTGGAACACAATCTCTAGACGAGGGATGGGTTCTGCGAAGAGTCTCCATGCCTCCCACTGACCCACGTGGAGTCAGACAGAAGCTGGCAGCTGGAGAGAAACTGGTAGCCAGCTGGTCTGATGACCTTCTCCCCAAAGTGCCGGTACCACCCCCACCCTTTGAACTCTCCCTCTCTGATGCACTGTCCCAGGCTGGGATGGCATTGAACAAGGGTTCCCACACAGCCAGGAGTCGAAACACGGTGAAATCCCCTCCAGAAAACTCCTCTGCAAGCCGGTTGCCCAATGCCTCCCACAGGGTCGGACTAAAAGCAGCGTTCAGACCTGCCAGGAAATCGTGAGCCTAGGCCCATACTAGCAAATCACAGAGCGAATCATTCAACACAGAGTCCCCTAGAAGAAACCAAGTTACTCCACATGGAGAAAACCACGGACTCGTCTTTAGAAGTGTGGTTCCCCATCGCGGAAACACCAGCACCCAACCCCAGCAAAGCACAAACTGTCCACCAGCTGGGGATTCATCCCCACCCACTGGCCCAAGCTATCAGGGCAAAACCCGTGGGCTCAGCCTCTTTCAGAAGGACGCAGGGAAAGGTCATTACCTCTCCAGGGGAGCAGGGGGTGTCTGAAAGTGAGCGGACCACACAGGCACCACGGGATCCTGGCAGGGTTCCTGGGCATCTCCATCTGCCCCATGATCCCTGAGGCCAATCAGTGACATACATGTCGCTGGCTACCAGATGTCGCCGTTGAACAAGAAGTGACACAGATTTCAACAGAAAGCTGGTTTGCACAACAGCAGCTTTAATGCAAAAATTCTCCTCTTTTATAGACAGTGTTGACACATTCCACTTGATTGGCTAATTAACAAAAACATCTTTTTCACAAACAGTCCTTGAGAAGAGCAGGAGAACAGCGTAGGAAAACACCACCTGCAGGTTGTTTATACTAACAGATTATTGTTTCTCCACGACTCCCTAATAAGTCTCACAAGTCCACTGTGAGAAAACGAATCTCGTTTTCTTGCTCTCGGACCAAGCTGTCACATCCGCAGTATAGTCCTGGAAAAATGTAGCATGTTTTAAAAGTGTTTTTAAAGGGCATTTTTTCTCCCAGATTAGGTTTACCACTTGTCACCATCCAGCATACGTAAATCAGAGACTCCATGCAGCAACTCATTGTCCTGTAATTGGGCTGAGAAACCACCTTTATTTTAGTAGCAGAGGATGATTAATTTCCTCTTTGCTTGCTTTTTTGCATATCTGCAGACAGGCAGATTCCTTGCACTAGTTTTAGAAGAGTTTGTACAGCAGTGAGAAATGAAGCAAGAACTGCATGTTTATTTAGGGTCCCTTTAATGTCACTGTATGACTAAAACCTTTCAAATATGTTTTTTTTTTTAACATGACAAAGCACCAAAAAGAAGACATGGAACTGTAAGATTTCTGAATAAATGGCATTTTAGGATGCTTTGCTTATATTGTGCCTTCTTATAGAAGCAGATCTGAAGTGAGATGAGAGCTGTTGGAACAGCATGCAGCAGAATTACCAGAAACAGGAGTTCAAAAATCCAGAAGAGTCTAAACATAACCTGTGAAATTAATTCTCAACCAGAACTGCACACAGACTGCATCTCCAATTCGGAAGTTTTTCATGTGATATGGTATAGATCTGTGCATAATAATAGAATGTCCTAAAAAAATCAGAAAGGAAAAAAAAAAAAAAAAAAAAAGGCAGGAATCAAAATAAAAATGGGCCAGGGCTGAAGATGATCAAACTCTTCTCCATGATTCCATCCTGCTCCCACAGAACAGGAACATTCATCTGCTGATTTTGTTGGGTTCAAGATGCTCCTGCTATTTCAAAGTGTAGTAGCCACCCACAGTTATCCTGTTTCCTGCCTTCTGTTTTATTGTGCTTCTATTAACAGTATGAACACTTGTGAATTTTTCACTGATAATTTCAATATGCAAGGAAAAAATATCTTGCAAATCCAGAG